ACAGACGACGGTCGATGAACCTCCGGCTAACTGACTCTCTAAGTCGATGTCTCACCCAACCAGGAGGGCGCAGACGTCGAAAGGAGTGTAACTACTGTTAGCCGATAGAATCGGGCCAGGACGGCCGAACCGCCGTTAGAATTACCCCTTCCGTCGAATATTTCTCCGTTCAACTTATCCTCTGAACTTTATTCGATCGTCTCTGGTTTTATGCGTGTGAGTGGAATGTGATAAGTATAGAGACATGTAGAATTGATGCATGCTCTTTTTCCCCTCTGTATTATCATCTAATTATCAGTTAACAGATTAACAGTCGGAAGTCACATACCTTCTGTGTATAATATAACAAAGGCAAGTTCCCATTTCTAACTCTCCTCATAATGACCTCCGTGTCGTCTAAGATCTCTCTTGAGAGCCACCCAAAGTTATCCCACGATCCAGCATCGTATGCTCCGTGGAGGAAGTCGATCGAGGTGTATCTACAGATAGGTGACGTGTGGAACATCGTCACAGGTAATGATACCGAACCTGGTCGCGTAGGGGTTAGATCGGCAGCTGAGAGGGCGGGATCAGTACCTCCTACCACGCCCGTCGAAGGGCAAGTGGTTGGTAGAAGGATTACTGGAGAAGAGTGGAAGGAATGGGAAAAGTGGCAAGCGAGGGAGAATAAAGCGCAGGGGATGATCAAGGGAACAGTGTCGGACGCTGTGATGCTTGATATATCTGAGAAGATGTCAGCTAAAGAAATGTGGGATTACTGCGTAGCCCTGCATGTGACAGCGACGATCGAGAATCAAAGGAATGTCCGTCAAGCGTTGTTTAGCTATGACTTAAGGGACGATGCGACGGCCGAAGAAATGGCTAAGCATGTAGAGGATTTCTCGAAGACGATGTCCGAAGCGAGATTGGTAGGGTTGAAGTTTGACTCACAGGAACGAGCTGGGTTATTCCTCAATACCATTCTAGCACCATCCTACAGGATCATCCAGATCGAAGTAACATCCCTCATAGAAGAGGAGAGATCTTGGGAAAAGGTCTTATCGATCTTCAATAAAGAAACGGCGAGACGTAAAGCGCGCCCTGTTGGTAGGACCAATAGAAAGGGATTCGCGATGTTCGTCGAAGGAAATAAAGGAATGAGGGTGAACCGAGATAATATCTCTGATGGTCAGCCCAGAAAAGAAACCAGAAAGTGTTATAACTGTGACACTGTAGGACATCTAGCGAAGTACTGTCGTAAACCTAAAAGAGAGGATACGAACAGGAAAGAGAACGCAGATGGAAAGGATGGAGGTAAAAAGAAATGGAGGAATAATAATAAGAATAATAAGAAAGGACATACGGTCTCGAAGGATGTGAACCAGTCCAAGGATAACTCCAAAACCTCCTTGATGTATTCGTCATTGGATGGTGAACATGAGGCGTGGGCCGGGATGGCCATGTCGACAGAATCATGGTTCGACAATGACGAAGGGTACACGAGTAACATTGTGTGGCCCGAAGAAATTGAAAACCCGTGGGTTGAGGATAAGGATAATGAGTGGGTGGGATTAGCTACAGAGTCTAATGATGTAAGCCACACTCGTGTAATCCCCACCTGGGTAGTGGATAGTGGTGCTACTCACCATATAACTCCTCACAGGTCGATAATGACGAATATTAAAAGACTAGTGGAACCGAGAGTGTTCAGACTAGCATCTGGCAAGTCAATGACGGCTTGGGAAACAGGTGACATCAACCTCGAACTAGATTCAGGACAGAAAATGGTACTGAAAGATGTACATCACGTCCCTACAGCGAAGATAAGTCTTCTCTCCCTTTCGAAGTTACTCTCATGGGGATGGAAGGCGAATCTAAGCAGCGGTGGTGGATGGATAGGTAAAGGTAAAGAGAAACTAGGCTTGAGGAAACATGACTCACTGTGGTCGGTACGATTCGGCAGAGCAATGTCTGCCGCGATGATCGTGATATCGACACCGAAGGCGACTTCACCACTTGAATCTGAGCATCAGCGACTCGGACATATAGGTGTAGATAAACTAAAGAATCTAGGTAGACAGGGACTATTGAAGAAGGACTGGGACACTTACAAAAACGATCCCTTTACAACCGATAAATGTCCCGCCTGTATGCAGGCCAAAATAACACGTCTACCAAAGAATAAAGAAGCACCAATGTTGAAAGGAGATGGTGAAGGAGTAGGAGTGGATGTCGATATTGCTGGCCCGTTCGGTCCGGCGATAAAAGGTGAACGATATTTCTTCGTTGGTGTGGAAAGGGCGAGTCGAATTGTATTCGCGATACCGATAACGACGAAGAACGAATCGTCAGATATCGTTCGACAGT